ATTAGTAAGCATTTTTTTATGTTTGAGCTGACTTCCTGACATTAGGCGAGCTCCAATTAAATATTTAAAACTTTGTCAAATAAGAATAAGAACAAAAAAGCCTTAAAATTTTAGCTGCACCTGCCCCAAACGTGAAAGCAACAAGTTGATAAAAAAATTTTTACTACTCTCAACTAAATTTATACTCGTCGAGAAATTTTTAATGTCACAAAATAATCTCTTAGTGTTTGGCAATTATTGCCTTATAAAACTTGAAACCCCCATAAATTAGGTGGGGAGGGGGTTAAAATTATATTGTCATAATTTTTAAACGCGAAGAGATTATCATATGCATCTGCCTCTGTATATACAAGACCACGACCATGGAGAGGGTAAAAAAATGCTGGTACAATTATCTTTTTACACCCTACCCCCTTCCTACCTTTGCTTGTTAAGCATATATTTATATATATATATATATATATATATATATATATATATATATATATATATATATACATATATATATATATATATATATATATATATATATATATATATATATATATATATATATATATATATATATATATATATATATATATATATATATATATATATATATATATACGTATGTATGTGTATATAAATTCAAATAAAAAGATTTCGAAAAAAAATTTTTATTTTTATTACACAGAAAAGTCTAAAGAATATCTACAAATGATAAAAATTTTGTTAAATAGAATAATTTTGTTTAAGTAAGGTTGCCTTTCTTTTCGCAAAATTACGTATTACTATATCTAAGTCAATATATTTTGCAATTTCAGACTCAATACTTAGCCTAGCTCGGTAGTTAAGGCAATCCTGATTCATGGTAGACTTGAGATAATTTTTAGTTTAAGCTTGCTGAAGCTCCTTTCTGCTGATGCTACTGTTGCTAGTTCTGTAAGAAGTATTCTCTAACTGATACTGAGATTTGGAAATATACTTTCTGATTTGGACTCTTCCAAAGCATTTAATATTTTCAGTGCATTTAAATGTTTTGTTTCAAAGTTGGCTGTGTGAATCATTGTTATGTGTTTTATTTCTTGCACAAAGTCTTCACTGACTATATCTTTATAATATTTTTTTGCAAAATTAGCTGCTTCATATATTAATTCTGACATCTTGCATATGTCAACAGGAATTCTGTGCCAAACAACTTACATTATGATGCAGGTAAAGGTATTGATATAACAAATTACTACACGAATCTCGTTTCTAGTTTTTGGAGTAAGATTTAGCTGGAGCAAGTCTTCCAAAGCCAGCTTTACTCCTGGAAGGTGATCTACAAATGGTTTTACACTCTCTATTCGATCTAACCACCTGGTGCCATATATGTCGTGAATACTGGCGGATTGTTATAACTTTAATCCCTACAATCAGAGAGTAGATTAGCATTACTTTCTAACGTTTATGTAATCGTTTGAACAATTTCAGAACCATTTTTGTCACTACATTCTACAAATTTCAAAAGTTGTTCCACAATTTCATATCGTGATTTATGGCGAACTAGGTAACGTAAAATAAATGTTGTTTGCTCAACATTTGATGAATTTGTTGTAGAATCTATAATTATTACGAAGTACTTTGCAGAATGTCTTTCTTCCAAAACATGCTGTTTAACAAGATCAGAACATTCTGCAATAAACTCATGTTGGGAATCATTTGAGAGGTAATGTACTTACGCCCTTTTTTTGTGACTCAGCTACTTTTAGAAGATGCTACTTTAAAATAGGGTCCCAGTTAGAAAGCAACTTTATCAGAACTAAAACATTTCCATTATTTGAGTCATTAATTTGTTGCAAAAATCACTGAAAAGCAAGGCGTCATTCTCCTAAGAAAAGGATAACATCAATAATTCTTCTCAAAATTTGATACCATCTTTTCAATTCGACTTTAATTGATAATTCAATAAAATTATCAATACAATCTTGCATAGAAAGATGTCGTTCTAATTTATCCCATGCTAGATAGCATTCTCTATGTCCATTACTCTTTTCATGATCTAGAACATTGTTACACAACTTCCGCCAATTGGAACTCGCTGACCGGCTTTCAGCAGTAGTTAATGCCGATTTGGAAGCAATACTTAACTTGGAACAGACATTGTTCCGATATAATCGGTAAGGAAAATAATATAAAGAAGCCTTATGCTTGCTCCATACAAGCCAGTCTCGGTTACGCTGTTCTGCATTAATGTTTCTAAACTTTAATATACTTTCTAGAAATTTTCAATTATTATCAGCTTTTGGCAATTTTAAAAGAAAGTCAATATGATCTCTGGTAACAAAATTATTTATTTCTGATTGAGAAGGAAATTCTGCTGTAATAATTCCAATGTCAAGTTTTGTACTTGATTGGTGAAGTGAATCACTACTTAATTTAGAATTTTGTGTAGCACCAGGTTCAGGTTCTGAATCAATATCAATGTCAATCATACTTGTAAAAGGCTCCAAGTTTTTTCTTTTTTCCCTCGTTGCTATTTCATTTTTCCAATGGCTATTTTGTTCATGAAAGCCACTTTTATTTTTCTCTTTTTCCAAATTTACATCAGGATTTGTTTCTAATTCATATTTAGTATTTGTTTTTAATTCAATTTGTTGTTTTTTTACACCTAATTGAAAGAGTTTTAAAGGTCTGTATTTCTTTTCTTTCATTGTATATGCGTTTCTTTTCTTTCTTTTTTTTTGTGCTTCCGATGTATGCATTTGGATATGTATATATATATATATATATATATATATATATATATATATATATATATATATATATATATATATATATATATATATATATATATATATATATATATATATATATATATATATATACATATCAACATATTTGAAAGGATTTTAGTTGATCCTCGAGAGATCGCTAAAGATATCAATATTAAGGCAATATTGAGGCAACCAGAAATAAGATGGAGGAAAAAGAAACTCTTTACTTCAGTCAGAAAATGAATCCCTTGATAATCCCATATAGGAATTCAGAGTTAATTTCTTTTTTGCAATAATAGACACTGCAATTAGTTTCGTAAAAGAGCGACTCGCACAAATGAAGCAAATCACAAAACTATTTAGCTTTTAAAAAAAAGTTCCTTGATGGCTAACATTTACTGATTTACTGGGTAATTGGTTGGTACCAATTACCAAGTGAAATCTATATTGACTTTTTCAATAACAACAAAATAATTGTTGTATAAACTTTAGCGGGCTGATTTCATCATGGCTGATTTCATCATGGATACATTTAGGCTGTTGACTAGTATTAATACTATTATTATTATTTTAAAAATTCACTTTTTTTATCTGCCATCACTTTTAAGTGATGGCAGATAAAAAACAGTTAGTTTTAATCAAAAGTCCAATAAATTGATAAATTAAAATTATCAACACTTAAAAATGTTAATAATTTACCAATTTTATCGGACTTTTGATTAAAACTATCTGTTTTTTCTTACTGTTTTTTTAAAAGCCTAATTAATGCATCACCTTGTCTAGCAGGGGTAAGTTGAGCAGCTTTGAAAAAAATAAATAAAGCTGAACTATGGAACGCAAAGAAACAACTTTGATGAGAAATAATAGAGCGGTAACTTATTTATATATATATAAAAAAAAAACTTTGAAGCCCAATTTAAAAATTAGTAATTTTTAAATTGGGCTTCAAAGTTCAAGATAGTTGTATAAAATCATACTTTTATAATTTATGACACTTTCTTACTACTCAATTTTCTCTCTTTTTTTACTTGCGTCATTAAAGTGTGTAAAATAAAAAGTTCATAAGTTATACTTATGAACTTTTATAATTCAGTAATATATCTGGTCTTCGTTTTTTGAAAAATCAAAACCTCATTTTGAGTCATAGTATCTTTCGCTCACCAGGTTATACTGACACTTACTGTTAGTAAAAGTTTTATCGATGATTCACCCAAGTTTCGTACCATACATATTCATTTGTTTGTCGATTTTTCAACTTACCATAAACTATACTTTTTTGCAAACAAATTTTTAGCAGGTTAAATTATATTTCAAATATTGAAAAAATTTTGTAAATCCGACGCACCGTTCATGAGATCTGTTAGATTTAGAAAAAACTACTCAACTAGCCCCACTTTACCCTACTTATTACTTTTTGTAAATATTCTTGTTGTAAAAACTTTTTTTTAAGAATATAATTTTATTTGATTTGATGTTTATTTTATTTGATATAATTTTATATATAATATATTTGATATAATTTTATTTGATATAACTTTGATTTGATCTATATTTTATTTGATATAATTTTATTTTATTTGATTGGTTTGATTTGGTTTGTCAATGAGTATAAATTTAGTTCAGAGTATTAATAGTACAAAACTTATTTATTTATTGCCCTGATATTTAGGATTAGTTTATTTATTTAAGGTTAAGTTATTTATTGCCCAGACATTTAGGGGCGTTTTGATGTTTTATTGTTCCCAGGCTCCAGAAACTGCAATTTTATATAAAGCATTTTCATCTGAAACAAGCATACTCAAATTTGTAGTTTGCTTTATGTCTGAAAGTTAATTAAACACCAAAAAAAGCTGGTGCGATCCCTATATATTAAAAATGAATCATAAAATTTTTAACAAATTTTTTATAGATCTGGCCTTGAATTAAAACTTCACAACCAATTTAACATTTGAAATATGGTATTAATTTTATAAAACAATTTATTTTCAAATGAAAACATTTGAATTATAGATAATTAGGATAAACACAAATATTTGTTCGAACTCTTAATAAAACCTCAACGCTTGAGTTCGTAATCATTGGTTCGGTTATTATAAGCTCGCAACCGAATATAATTTAAAATAAACTTTAATTAAACACAGTGGTTTCTATTTGCTTTTCATTGTAAAACACTGTTAAGAATTTTTAAATCACGTTCTCACAATTTTGTTTTTAATTTGCTTTGTGTATTGCCCTACTGGGAAAGTAAAAAAGCTTAAACCATTCAGTTAATAAATATGCTATTACAGATTGTTTTTAACAAAATTATTTTCAAATTTTGTCTTACCGCTAGTAGTTATCGTAGTCGAGACAGGTTTACGGAAACAAGAATATTTTAATTGTTTGTAAATAAATCAGATTAATTATTTTAATTGATTGCAGAACTCTGCTCGGTCAACCCGATATGATTAGCTTAGCGTAGGCTAATGACTTGAGTGCTTTCAGTTTGTAAATAAATGAAGTAAACAACGATTAAGCAGCAAATTACTGCTATTAACCGCATTTATATCAATAAATTATACTAAGTAAAACAAGCTATAACCTATCGTGTGTCTTGTATACTTCAATATCAATATACTTGAAAAAATTTTTGGACACAATTCTTGGATATAATTCATAATTGTATTATTATTTATAACTTTTTTTAAAAAAATATTTTTTTCGGCTTTTTTTCTTGTGGATTTCTATACTTACTTTAACTTACTTCTGTTTAATAGTTTAATGCTTGTATTTAAGTTACAATGCTCGTTTTTTAGTTTTGATACTCGTGTTTTTGCATTGAAAAAGAATTTCTTTTGTGAAATTTAAGAAAAATATCAGCTTGCTACAAACAAAGAAAATTTTTAAGATACATTGACATAATATCGAGCAGCAGCAATAACAACAACAACAACGATAACATCACCATCAATTACAACAAGCAGCAACTGCAATAACAACAACAGCAGCATTAACGACAATAACAACAACAGTAACATTAACAACGACAATTACTGCAACAATAAAAGCAACAACTACTGTAATAGTACTTGAATGTAAATGAGGAACTGTACATCAATCTAAACTTTCTATTTACATTTTTTGAATCTAAATATATAAAGATTTAACTTGACAGACAATGCAGAAATTGCGTATTAATATTTTGTGCCAAGTGAGATTATATCTAGCATATAATGCTTAAATTTATAACCCCATTATTTATAAACAGCAAAATTATAAATAACAATTTTTTGTATAAATTATAAATTATAAATAACAATTTTTTCTGAAATATTAGAAAATATAATTGAAGTTATTTATTAAATTTTTTATAGGATAAACATTTATTATATTAACTATTTAAAAAGTGCTTTATTTTTAGATTTTTGCAGCATGTTTATTCAATTGTTTTGCAAATGATTGTAAGTTTCTTTTCATTTACTAAAATACCATATTTTTTTTTTGTAAAAAAAACATACTCATAGTATCCACCTTGTAGCTACAAGGTGAATATTTAATTGATTGATTGCAGTAATTTACTGCTTGTTTACTTAAATATAATTCTCACATTAAAACAATTGTTTATTAAGAGTGTAAGTACAAAAGTGTAAAGACAGGTTGGGTCACTTGTTTTAAGATATTACAAAACAGCAGTTTTCTTTTATTCTACGTAAAATAAAAGAAAACTGCTGTTTTGAACCTGTCTTTACACTTTTATACTTACGCTTTTAATAAACATTTGTTTTAATATGAGAAATATGTTTAAGTAAACAAGCTTGATTGCAGTAAATTACTGCAATCAATCAATTAAATTAAAGATATTTCCTTTGTCAAGCATTTGTCAAGCTTTGTCAAGCATAATTAAATTGTAAGAGTGTACATAAATCAACTATTTGCATTAATTTAAATTGCATGTTACACATACACAATAAGTTGAAATCTGAAGTTTTCAATATTTTCTCTGAGGAAGCATACAGTTTATAGCTTTTTCCATTCTTTCTTAGTGACAAATGTTCTGCTTTTTCTTAGAGACAAATGCTCGGGATCATTTATTTGAGCTTTTTATAAAAAATCTAGGATTTTTTTTCTCATCATTGATTTTACTGTTTTTTTTTTTAGATACACTGCAAGAGATTGTTTATCCTAAAGTTTTGTACAAGAAAACAGACAGAAGGCAAAGAAGAAGTTTAACGGATGGACAAGAATCAGAGCTAGATAAATCAAAAGTAAATGTTCAGTTTAATGCTTTGGGAAGAAGTTTTCAAGCACACCTTTTGCTAAATAAAAGGTTATTAGCACCTAGTTTTCATGTTGAAGTTATTGGAGAGCATAATCAATCTAATAAAAACTATCAAACAGAAAATTGTTTTTATTCTGGGCGATTGGACAAAGAAAATAATAGTTTAGTGTCACTATCAACTTGCAAGGGACTGGTAATTTTTTTGTCATTTTTATTTTTTAATAATAATTGTTTAAGTAAATATTAAAATACTTTAATTAATTATTAATTATGTCAGCATTCAGCAATGCTAACGTGAAAGTGTTTTAGGTCAACAAAAAATTGCTGACCTCGTTTCTATGTTTTTATGGTTAGTTATATATATATATATATATATATATATATATATATATATATATATATATATATATATATATATATATATATATATTTATATATATATATATACATATATATATAATTTATTTATATGTATGTTTTTAATATATATTTTACTGTTTATAAATTTTTTCATATCATGATTTAAAATAATAAGGATGGTTTGACTTGATCAATGGTATATTTTCATATACTTTATTTTTAATACAAGGTAAGAAACTAAAAAACAACAGTTCTTTTAAGCAACAGTTAGCTACCTAAAAAAACAAAAAATGCAAAAAACTGAGTGAACCACCCAATCAAATTCTATAACAGTCATTAAATGCTTTTCATATGAAGATAAAAAATTGATAGTTAAAATGTTAAATAAGTTTTTAAAAAGTTCCCAGCAAAATTAAGAACTAAAAAAAGTGAATATAAATTTCAATATAAGTAAATATAAATTAAATATAAATCCTGTTCAAACCAAAAAGGTTCTATCCAAGAAGATTCCCTCTATGAAGATTCCCTAAAAATATATCTAAAAAACTTAATTGTAAAAAAAAAAAGGCGCATTGGTTTTTAGAAAAAATTAAAGAAAAAATATCAAGTCCCAAAAATTTCAAGTTCTCAAAAGTTTTTTTTTTGTTGTATGTGGTACAGAAAATCTGAATTGTTTGAACTTGAATGAGTAACAAAAAATTAGGCTGAGCAATCTATGTCCACAGAAAATTACTTCTGGAAAAAGTTTTGTGAACAAGGATAAGCAACACAAATAAAGTAAAATAAACAGATGTTTATATAGTACAAAGATTAAAACTTAGGAGAAAAGCAAATTCGAAAATCATAGTAAATAAAAATATGAACACTACATTGAACAATACTACTTATAGACTGAAATTCTTGAGAAATCCTTGTTAACATCACATACTTTGATATAGTATATCTTTGTTTATATATGGTTTTTTTGCCATTCAATAAATTTTTAATTTCGTCCTAATTTTATTTAATTTATTTTTTTATTTATAATGTATTTTATAATAAAATTATGTTTTATGAATAATTAAGATATTCATGCAATAAATATTATTTATCATAATTAAATATCAGTTATCATAATTAAATTTCTGAAGCTACTGTTAAAATTGATAATGATATTTAAAATGATTATTTAGAATGGAGTAATACAGACAAGTACTGGGAAGTACACAATTGAGCCATTATCAAATAACGAAAATGAATCCCAAAATCAAGCGCACATTGTAAAGCGGTTGTCTGATGATCTTCATGATGATTTGCATAGAAATGGCAATGAAATTCTAAAAGACTTTTTCAAATATTCTGAAATTGGAAAAGCTAATAAAACTAAAATAGATGGATTTTGTGGATTAGTAGGTTTGTGGATAATTTTCTTTTTTATTCTTTTTTGGCTCATTTTCAAATTTATTTTTCCTTATAATTTTTGTTAAACTTTTTTAAAATCTGTTTTAATAAATATAAATAATATTTAGTTAATATAATTTAGTTATAATAATATCTCTAGAAGTTAAATATATATTTTTAATTGTATTTACTTCTCCATAGCCAAGGGAGCTACTACAGTTGAGGGTGCTACTCATTTTTCATTGTTTTTATAACCCTCTCTCAACCCTTTTTCAAATTTTCAAGACAGACATCATTGACAACAGATATTGCAAACATTCTTGACAACAAATAAAAAATCCTTACTAACACATAGAGAAAATCTGAAAGATAATAACCTTTTAAATTTGATTTTCTAAAGGTGTATAATCAAGAAAAGACACATGTATACTAAAATGTCACTAAATTATATAACACTAACGTTTCTAGAATAAAGCAAATCCTTTAAACACTGCATAACTTAATGTCTACCAGTTAGTTAGTTAGATACTAACCTAACTTATTGTCTAGTTGGGAAAAGAGTTGTCAGCTTTTTGTTTACCTGTTTCTTTGCAGTCTGCAAGTTTATTTATTAATTTGTTTTATTGAATGAATTTTTTGTTAACCATATAAAAATTTTGACTGTTTAAGTTCTGACTATTCTATTAAACATACTCCAAATAAATTAAATATATTTTTTTTTAAATGGAAGTTGTCAGTTGTTTTTTTCTTTTTTCTTTTACCTCTTTTGGTTTTACTTGACTTATGTTATTTTATTAGCTTAGTAGGCATTCCAACAGTTTAGTAGACATTCTAGCAGCTAGAGAATATGTATTTACAAACTGCATTTAGCTACTGCAAAGTTTTTAATTTTACTTGACTTTTTTAATTTTTTTTTTTTTTTTAAATTTTGATTCACACTCAACAAGCAAGCAACCACTATTAAGTTGGGAGTTACAAAAAAACAAAGAAAAAGGATGTGACTTTGCAGAATGACAAGTTTAGCAAGAATGATTTTTTATTGATTGAACTAGAGATGGTAGTTCCTTTTAGCAGCAACAATGATAGTATTTGCTGCTAAGAGAAAGAGATGCAACCATATGACAAAGTTAGGCTCAATCTTGGCATATAAAGCAGAGTCAACTACGTTTACAATTTATATTTGGACCTTGTCTAGAAAAGAAAGAGCATCATTAACAGAACCAACCTAAATGTAACAACAGCATTCCATACATGAATGAACAAGAGATTTGTAGAAGTAGAGAATGAATTAGGAGTAAGAAAATGTCAATTAGAAAGCAACCTTAGCAGACGCTAACTTAGCCGTCAATTGTATTTATGGTTTCTGTGACAGGTCAAAGGTGAACAATAATCCAAGATGTAAAGAAGAGGTCTCAGTGAGAGGATTGCCATTCATCAATATAGGAATGTCAACAGTATTGCAATAATTTTTTGCAGTAAATAACTGAATGTTTTTGGAAAATTTACAAGCCACTGCAACCCCAAGCTGTTATGAAAGTGAGATCAGATTTAAGATGCTGCTTGTTTTAAGTGATCAAAGAGAGAAGACTTTTTGTCAAGACAGGAGTATAAAGTAGAGACATCAGCAAATAGAAAAATAAACAGTGGAGAATAATAAATAAAGTGGAGACAGGAGTATAAAGTGAAGACATCAGCAAATAGAAAAATAAACAGTGGAGAATAATAAACAAAGTGGAGACAGGAGTATAAAGTGGAGACATCAGCAAATAGAAAAATAAACAGTGGAGAATAATAAATAAAGTGGAGGCAGGAGTATAAAGTGGAGACATCAGCAAATAGAAAAAAAAACATATTGTTGATTAAAGACTAAAAGCTAATAACAGATAGAAGACTGATTGGACGATAGTTGTAAAGGTCAGAATGTTTTCCAAAGTTTGTAAATATTGGAACCACAGATGTCATTTTCCAGCAGACAGGAAGACAAGACTCAGTCAAGCACTTATTAAATAGTTTAGAGAGAATTGAAAAAAGTTCTGGATTTTACACTTTTGTAAGACAAGAATGTTGTCTGGACCACAAGTTGTAGAAGAGTTTAATTGAAATATGACAGTGATTTAAATGTCTAACAATGGGTTAATCTGTTCAACTAAAACAAAAGGAAATGCCATAGTATTCTAGAGTTAGAATGTATGGCCATAATATTCAAGAGTTAAATTAGAAGTAAAGTTCTTTGCAAATAGTTCATATTACTTGGTAATAGAGGTAATAAGGTCAGTACCATAAATTAGAGATAAAATGTTTATCTTTGTTATGTTTACCATGTGTTATGTTTTACCATTGTCATGTTTACCTATGTTATTAATGTCACCTTTTTACATTAATTTATTCCAAGATGTTTGTTTTCAAGAGAGTTGTTATTTTAAAAAAGATGAAAAAAATGATTACAATTAGATTTAGCAGTTGCACAAGAAGGTGAAAACCATGGAGTAGAATAAGGTCTCGCTTGAGAAGCCTTGTTCTAAGTTTATTAGTTTTAATTTTATTAATTAGTTTTATCAGTTTGGTTTTTTATCTTGTGATAAATATTTAACCTATACCTGCTGTTTCTAGTTTAGTTTACATACTAATTAAATGTATTAATGCTGGGATAAAATGAAAAGTACAGATAAATATAATAAAAGAACTATTTCTTAAAATAGTTAGTAACATGTATATTAGTTCTCATATATAAAAAAAGTTATTTGTCTTTACACGCTTTTTGATGTATTAGAAATAGGCCAGGTACTTTTATAGAGTGTAGACTTTCATAAATAGCTTGTACATAATATTGCATAACACAAAAATCAAGTGGTTAGAAATCACTTATCTACTAGCAATAATTTTTAAAATAGCTTTAATGAAAATTTTCTTATCTATAAATTCATTTTTAAAGGGAATTCTTATCTTAAAGGGATCCCAAACCTCCAAGATATGTTGTGTTTATATTAAAAAGAATAATAAAAAAAAATGTTTGCGCTAAGTTTTTTTGATTAAAATAAAAGAATAAATGCATACCAAGAAAAATAACTTTTTATTGAAGCTCGCCTATTTCGTTTTATTGTAGGCCAATAAGTCAGCATAATATATGCTGCAATCTACTTGATAATATATTCAAGCACATTTTATTCCTAAGAGTTATAGTACATGACATCATTGATTTTTTTTTGTTTGCATAAGAGATTGATTATGTAAATAAACAAAAAAGTTAATGACATTTTATTCCTAAAACTTTTAGGAATAAAATGCGCTTGAATAAATTATCAAGTCTGTAGAATGCGGCTTATATTATGCTAACTTTTCCGCTTACAACAAAATGGAGAATGCAAGCTTTGACTAAAATAAAAAAGTTAGTTTTTCTAAAATAGAAAAGTTAATTTGTTTTTTTTTCTTTTCAAGTTAATTATTTTGACTTTTACAACAAAATTGTTAAATCATTAAACAAAAATTATTTTTTATTTTTATATTTACATTTTTATTTATATAATTTAATATATTTTTCTATTGTTAAATAGTCAGATACTGATGTATCTGACTATTTAACATATGATGATTATGTCAGATATTATAATTTTTTATGAATAGTATTAGCTATTTACAAAAAATAGCTTATACTATTTATAAAATATAATTTTTTAAAATAGTCAGATACTATAAATAGTCAGATAATTTAATTATTTATAAATAATATAAATTGTTTATAAATTTATTTATAAATAATATAAGCTGATTAATACACAACTTTTTGCGTTTTTAGTTTGATTTTTTGTATGGATGCCATAGATTTTTGAATCTATGTTTCTTTTTATGTTTTCAATTTTTTTCAAATAAAAATAAAAACATTAATGCAATGTAATATATTCATTTAGTTATAGTAAATACTGATAAAATACAGTAAATGTTAAGAACATAAATTAAGATTGTAATGTATAAATATAAGTATTCATATTATAGGTAATGTTAATAATTTTTTTATAAAAGAGAAACCACATGTGCGATGGGTAAGAAGTGTTATGTCTGAAAAAATTGGGGAGCAAACAGTGGAAACAATGCTAGCTGTTGATCAAAAGATGATGCAGTACTATGGAGTTGAGGCAGCTAAACAATATGCTCTTACACTAGCAAATATTGTATGTTTTTTTATGTTCTATTACTTTATTTTATTAATCATTAAGTTATATATCTTTTATATATAACTTTATATATACTATTAATATATATAACAAAATATATATACTATATATTTTGTTGCTATAATTTTGATTTACTATTATTTGATTTGTGTTATTAGGATTAACTGTCATTCAATTGGTGTAGTTGTGATTTACATTATTATCAAATCAATTCTTGTTCTTAATATTTAGGCGCATGGCATATTGAAAGATTCTACCATTGGACAGAACACTATAAATTTAGTCATAACTAAGTTACTTATTCTGACGGCTCCATTGGTAATTGTTTTTGTATGATAAACTTTAGGTACATGTAAATTGAGTGTATTTGGTAATTCCATGTAAAAGCATAACTGTCACAGCTCCTTCAGATTTGAAAAGGAAATGCTAGACCATTTTAATATAAAATATGGTCTAGGATGCTCTTAAATATCTATTTAATATTATAGAGGTACCTTGATTTTTAATTTTTTATGGTCAAAGGTACTTTATCTTAAATAGTGCATAGAACTCCTTAAGGTTACACAAAATCAATTTTTTTGTTGTGTTTATATCTTCCAATACTTTTTACCAGGGGTTTTCTTTAATACTCATTATAGTAAAAAAGTTTTATAAGTCCTAAATGATCCTCAATGATTCAATGCTGCTCAACCACATCAGGGTATGCTATGATTTCTTTTTTGGTTATCTATTAACTTTGTCTTTAAAATTTTGCTTTTTGAAATTGGAAAATTTGCTACCTTTGGTAAGAATCTTTAAATTTTATCTTTTATGCATTTAACAAGAAAGTCAATTAAGAAAGTCTATATTTTCAGATTTAGTTTGAACTAAAGTTGTTTTCAAGGCAAAGATTTCCACAGTAGGTTAAAACGGGTATAATAGTCTACTGGTAAATGCGTTCTGCTGCAAGAGTAATACAAATATCTAATTTTTTAAGCAGTCTTAGTCTGCCACTTTTTTGTAAGCATTGTTAGAATAACTTGTGTTTAGTGTCAGGTCTAAATTGATACCAATATATTTATAGCTCAAGGTGAAACATATTGAGTTGAAGTTGTAAGAAACATTTATTGTGTTTGGTTGCCTTGAGAGAGATTTTCCTGTACCAAACAGCATGGGCTCTGTTTATCGACTTCAAGGTCGAGTATTAGCTCATTTTTTATACACCATTTTGAGATTTCTTCTATATCCAATGAAAGATACAATTCTATAGTATTCCCAGGAATGTATATGAATGTGTCGTCAGCATAAATAATAGATTTTGTATGTTTCAAACAAGATACCAGGCCATTAAAGTAAATAACAAAAAGTAATGGACCTTTAATATTAAATAATATAATATCTAATATATAGTAATATAAATCCTTTAAAACTATTATGTTAAATAGAGTTGCAAGATCAAATTTATTGTCATCGAGAACAGTTGCAAGTTTTTTATTAACTTCATCTTCAACTTGTTTTTTCTTTTTCTTTCCTAGAGACGGCTTGTTAGGTATTTTTCTAAAATAAACTTTCAAAGTCGAGACTTCAAGTTCATAAATATAGATAAAAATTAATTAAACATAAACATTCAAATAGCAATGAATAGAGCCAAGAAGAATCATATTATTTTTTTCTCGACACTTTCACAAATTTAAAAAATAAAAGTTTTTTCTGCTATAAATATATTTTTTTAGCTTTGTTATAGGCAATAAATGAATTGCAGCCCCATCAAAACTAGTTGTTAGTTTAACAGTAAATAGCGCAATGTTATTTAGCACTAGTTGGTCAAGATAGATATTATTCTCAGTTCTCCACTTAAGTATTTCTCTTTTATATTTAGCAGTATCTTCAAAAGACTCAATTTTAAGCCAAAAAATCATATGTTGTCAGATAAAATTCACTTTCTTGTTAATTGAATAAAACTCAATAGTTATTTGCTTAAAGTTAAAACTTTTTAAAGTTTTATGCAACCCAACTGACATGAGACATTACAACAACATAATGATGGCTTTGATTTTTTATTTTTTTACTTTTTTTTTTTTTTGATTCAGCGTCTTCAAAAAAACAAGAAATTAAACTATTCATGAAAAAGTAAGTACCGTTACAAAATCAATAATGGTGAAGTTATGCCCAAATAAGGAATATTTTTTCTAAAGTTAAAAAAAGACCGAAACCATATTAGGTAATAAAATAGCTTATTATATCCCTTTTGTTTGAAAAAAAATTATAACACTTAAATTAATAATGGTTAATAAAAATACAAATAGTAACAACAAAACAAAAAATTCTTCCTGACCATTTTAAAATCAAAAAATTATCATCTAGAATTCTAAATTAAGTTATTTGCTTGTTATTTTTAAATTTAGCATTCTCAAAAATGGCTAGGTATCAATTTTCAACCAGTTTCTTTCTCTAGAATTCAAATTATTCATTCAAAGATATTACTAAAAAATCCTTAGTTAAAAAAATGGTTATTTATTGTTTCTAAGCATCATAATTTTGAACTTTTGGATTTTGGAGCTTATATTTTATATATTTTCGAATTTTATTAGTAGGAAGTGCTGATAAAAATTTAAGAAAATGACTGGAAAGTTTTTCTCCTGCTTTTACATGGAATTACTCATTCAAAATAAGGGTGCTCAATGTTTCATTATGCTATAAGAGCGCTCATCGTTTTGTTAAAGAAAAAAGCAATAATAAATTAGCAAAGAAACCTTTTTTGAACTTAGTTTAACCTTTTTAAGAAAAAAATTAGATAAATATTTTATATATATATATTTTTTACTTTAATTCACCTCCTCAAGTCCGAGAAAGCCACTACAGACGAGGAGGCTACTTGTTTTGTGGCTATAACCCTCTCTCAACTCTTTAACTCTGAAACACGAACCTTGACGAACAAGTACGCTGCGCGAAGAAATGAGTTGAACGCAGTACTACCAGGGACGTGGTGGGGATCGAACTCGGAACCACTCGTTTATGAAGTGAGCGCTCTACCACTACACCACTACCGCATAATTATATATATAAGCAATAAGCAATTAGATACATATACCTACCACAGAGCTATTCTACACACCTTTGTTATAAAATATTATATTTTATAATAAAGGTGTAATTTATTATATTATTATAAAACTTTCAGATGTATAAATTTTTGATAAAGAATTTTTTTTATATAAAATAAATTTTAAATAATAAAATTTTATTTATTTTTTACTTTTTACTTTACGACTTATTGCTAAAAATAAGCCTGGCACAGTATTACAAATGCTATGTTGTGCTGTGAGGCGCGTGTTTTATCTTATGTTTTTGAAAATATGAATAATAACAAGTTTATTTTTTTTAATTAACTTATGTGTTGCAACATTAAAATAAATCTATTTTTTTGTTTTTGAAATCTAAATACTGTAAATTTTTGTTTTCTCACACATTAACATGTAGCATAGAATTGCTATATATATATATATATATATATATATATATATATATATATATATATATATATATATATATATATATATATATATATATATATATATATAAACCTAAAATAAATCTAAAAAACATTAAAATTTCTTATGGTAAATTAAAACTCATAGTAAATTAAATTATATGTATATATATATATATATATATATATATATATATATATATATATATATATATATATATACATATATTTATATATATATATATATATATATATATATATATATATATATATATATATATATATATATATATATAAACCTAAAATAAACCTAAAATAAACCTAAAAATAAACATTAAAACTTTTTATGGCTCATATTTTTGGTTAGACTTTCAAAGAAACATATTGAAAATTATTTTTAGTAAAGAGAATGAGTGCGTGAAAGTCAAATTACAAAACCATGAGATATTGTTCAATGCTACCTTAAAGCTCTAACATATGAATGATGGTTTTGTTAGATGACTTAAACCCCATTACTTTAGGTCTGTTCAAATTGATTACAATAGAGAAAAAACCCTGAATTCTCATTGGATGCCATACAAATGCCTAATGTTGCTCCGGGGAAGTTTTTTCACTAAAAGCAGAGTTTTAGAGAGAAAGTGAGGTGGTAAAAATTGAGATGGCACTTTCCTAAATACTGTTTATCTTTTTATAGATCTAAGGAGCCAGTTCTAAAAGCTTGCAGTACATATCTCTGAGTTTTTACTTGTAGGGACTACAACAAAAGATGTAGTATTCACGCATTATTTTGTCAAACCTTTGTGCTGATAATGTATCAGGAAGAGATAATATTTGACATATTAGAGTGAAAAAAAAATTTTGAGCCTAAAGAAGTGATGATAATTATAAATATTTTAAATTGATTTAACTTTAAGACTTAAAGCCTTTAAGGCACTGAGGCATGCCATGAAGTATGCAAGGCTGCATAATATCAGTGATGTTAATAAAACAAATTATTAGAAAAGCTAAAAAAAAAACATGTTTTTCTGTTTTTTTATACTTTTTTTTATTAATTTTATGGTAGCTTCAATATAGTTTAATATTTGTTATGTAAAACTGTTTTTCTTGGTTCTTGTTTGAACCAAGAAAAGTGGTTTAACTTTTACTGGGATTTAGATCTATATATAATATGTTGTGTGTTTTATAAAAGTTACTCAAAGTTTTTAAAAAACATAGTAAAATCTTACTATAGAACAATTATTCTCTTAACATAGTAAAATCTTACTATAGAACAATTATTCTCTTAAAAGTATCAATGACAATTTAGCTTGAATATATGCAGGCCTTGTTTTAAATAAAAAATGCTTAATGCATTAGCTTAATGCAGTATTTGATGTCATGAAATTCTCTTTATTTTTTTATTTTTTAAAGGCATTAATTTTTTAAATTTAAAACAAGTTAAATTTTATTTAACTGCTTTTTTATTACTATAAGGGAATGTTTGTTGTTTTTTTTTTGTTTTTTTTTTTTAATATTAAGTAATTATATTTAATATTGCTTTTTTTAAAAATGTTTGATATTAACAAATTTCTTTCATTTCTTGACATTTGCATAAATGAATTAAAATATGCTGATTTTTTCAATTTTTAAAATGATTATATTTTAAATTTTTAATTGCGGCTTTGCAATTACAAATTATTTTTTATTTAAAAAAATTAGCAAGCAACAAATAAAAAAATTACTTTATTTAATTATTTAATTCATTTATTTACTTTATTTATTTAAAGTTTAGTTTATTATTTTATTATTAAAATTACATTGCTGAATATATTATTTAGTAAAAAATAAAATTGCAGTATAAAAAAAAAAGTTTAACTTATGTTTTGTGCAAACCTTTTGTTTCAGCTTTCAATCAACTTTTGATTCAGCCGTTTAATTTTGAGTAAAAAAAAATGTTTAGGAAGGAAAACCGAAAAAACAGTTGCAATAAAAATATGATTTTTTTTTTAATTTAAAAATTGAACAATATTTAGTATTTTTAATATTTTTAAATAGATTTGACTGTTAAGTTAAACCCAAGCATTAACTTTAATTTTAGTAATTTTAAATATATTTTTAAAATCAAAGTTAAATAATAAATTTATTATTTAAAAAGCGCTTATATCAAATATAATTGTCATTCAAAATTTTGTAACAAATATTTTTCATTACTGTCATTCAAAAGTTAATGTGACTTTTTCTTAAATTAGTTACTTCTTACCGCTTATGGTATAATTTAAAAGTTAAAAGAAGTCCCTTAACCGAAATCGCTTACTGCTTATGTAAAAAAACAAGGCCTTATATATGTATATATATATATATATATATATATATATATATATATATATATATATATATATATATATATATATATATATATATATATATATATATATATATATATATATATATATATATATATATATATATATATATATATAAATATATCTATATCTATATATATATATATATATATATATATATATATATATATATATATATATATATATATATATATATATATATACATATATATATATATATATATATATACATATATATATATATATCTAAATATATCTTATAACTCTGATTTATCCCTCTTACCTACCTGTATTTTCATACCCTGTAATAATCAAGCACTTTTTTGTTACCTTTTTTAACTTTTATTATTAATGCACATTTGGTTTATGGTTTTATTTTATTTAAAAGGATGATTTGAACATTAATCATCATGCTGCTAACACTCTGCTGTCATTTGGCCGATGGTCAGACAAGCGAAATGTGAAGCCAGATCGCCCTGAACACTTTGATTATGCTGTTCTTTTAACAAAGTATGCAATTAATAAATAAGTTCAAAGTTTAAAAGTTTAATAATGTTTTACATATTATTAAATTACATTTTGTCAGAAAAAATTATTTAAACTAATGTCACTTATGGTATCCAGTATATTATAAATGCAATTTTTCTCTCTTACCTCTTCTCCCCCTTCCCCTAACATAAGTTGGGTTTAAATGGATCTGTTCTTGACCCTCTCCCCCTCCTACCTTAACTTTTACCTGTAGCAATTATTAAAAAGTACATAAAAAGTATTATTATTTATTCATTGTAATCAAAATATTTTATTTAAGGCATGATATATGTGTGGATATGAACCAGCCATGTGAAACTAAAGGTATTTAAAAGTTGTTTCTTTTTTTAAAGAACTTTACTATAAAAAAAAGGAGCATAATTTTCTTTTTTGCTTTTATGGTACAAATTAAGATTTTTAAATTTTCAGGTCTAACATTTGTTGGAGGAATGTGTGATCATGCAAGATCAGCAGCAGTTGTAGAGGATAATGGCTTTGCTTCTGGGTACACACTGGCTCATCAAACAGGGCACAGGTTTTGAAGAAAATCTCTAATATTTAATTATAATACTTTGAATACTGTTACTTATAAAGTATATTTTTAACATGTTTAGAAAGGTTAACTAACCCCTTTGTATCCGCCACTTATTTATATATATATATATATATATATATATATATATATATATATATATATATATATATATATATATATATATATATATATATATATATATATATATATATATATATAATAAAAACAAAAACACTATTAATTAAAAATACTTTTTAGTCATTATTATTGTGGTTTTTTAAAAAATAATAAAACCTAATGTACATCCGCATTTTTTAAATTGTTTTAACCTTTAGACAACATTTAAAATGTTGCTTAGTTATTGATGTCGCTTAAATGTGAAAAAAAAACAACCTTGAAAGAGGTTAATTAAACATGTAATTAAATGTTCAAATAAATATTTATTGTTAATTTTGTTTTTTTCTCTTTTATAAGTAGTGTTAATTTATGCCACTTAAAACTTTTGATACTACTTAAAACTTAATATCACCTCAAACTTGATATCATATAAAACAACGGTGTTTGCTTTCTACTTCTGATATTTTAGTAGTAAGTTTTTGGTGATAGTTTTCCCTAAAAAGTATCCCCTACTGCTATAATTTTTGTTATTTAAAAATAGCATTATTAAAAAACACCCAAAACATTGAGGGCTAGTACTACAGATGCAAGTGCTTTATAGTAGTAGTCATTTAGTAATAGATATTATTGCAGTGTAGCTTCCTCCATAGTAGTAGGAGCTACAACTGCAGAGGAATCACTATTTTTTATTTATTTCTTCTATCAAACCTAAAAATTCTAAAACATAAATCTGGATAATAATGGTTGCTCAGAGAAATAAGTTAATGATAGTTTATTTCTGTAAATACATACATACATACATATATACATACATACATATATACATACATACATACATACATATATACATACATACATACATACATACATACATACATATATACATACATACATACATACATACATACATACATACATACATACATACATACATACATACATACATACATACATACATACATAAATACATACATACATACATGCAGGAGCTATTCTAGGCCATTTTCTACAGCGTTGAGTGTATTTAGGCTACATTTAGGTGAAAATAATTTGAGCAGTGATCCCCTAACGCTGCTCAAATTATTTTCCTACAATAACCCCTGACATGTATAAAGTACTTCTACTGTTTATAGTATGAGTAATTTATGCATGTATGTAAGTATCAAGTATTAGCCTAATATTAGTTTTAATTTATATATGGTAGTGTGGCAGCCATTAAAGCACTAACATGAGAAATATGAGTGAGAAATAAATTTCTGATTTTCACTACATTTCTAAATTACTATTTTTTAAGTACCATGTACAGCTTATTATTCTGAGAAGCCATTCTTGTCCAGATTTATGTTTAGAGTGAATGGGTTGATTGAGGAAATAAAGAAAAAAATGTTTGTATGTAAGTATTAGAGGTGTACCGTATATTTTTGCCGCATATGCCAGATAGTGAACTTTTCTAAAGTTCTATAAATGTTTATGAAGAAAAAATAAGTCTTGCCAGTCTACAATAAATAGTATTTAAGATCTTACTTGTGCTTACGAAGTATAGAAAATAGTAATTAAAAAAAAAGAAAAAGAATTAGCTATAAAAAACAATTTTTCTTTATACATTATCAACACATATACCTGTGTTATACCAGTTTTTTATTGATTTTATTTTATTAAATTTTGAACACTATTTAATGTAGAATGGCAAAACTTGTTTTTAACTTTATAAACACTTATAGAACTTGAGAAAAGTTCACTTTCCGGCAAAAATATCTGGTACACCTCTTCTAAGTATACACTCACAATATTTTAATATATTCATTTAAATAAAGACTATGAGGGATGGGGTTATTACTATAAATAAAGAAATTATTTTTGAGCAATGTTAAAATACCTTATTATTATGGTTTAAATGTTTTAAAGAACCATTTTCCAAAGAAATGATATAATTTATTTTATAAATTTTTTTAAATGTTGTAAAATATTTTGTTCAAATTTTAATGTAGTCTTGGAATGGATCACGATGGAACTGGTAACACATGTGATAAGAGTCTGTATGTCATGTCCAGAGATGGTGGAAAAGGAGAGTCTGCATTTCATTGGTCTTCATGTAGTATGGACTACTTGCAGGAGTTTCTTCGGTTATTTTTTATTTTTTAACAATAGTAATAATAGTTAATATAAATATTTTTGTTGTTATTATTATTCATTTTATTATTATAATCTTATCTCAATATAATTATATAAATTTGGCTGATGGAACTAGTGATGGAACTTGCGATGGTAGCTTGTTTGAGCAGCAACTGCAGTAGAATTTTGTATAAAAGATACAACCTTACAATTGGGACATTTTTGGCTCTAATCTAAAAGAAAGAAGGCAGCCCAGAATCAAGATCAGCTGTGTGCATTATGTGATTAAAATCATATTCAAGATCAGCTGTGTGCTTTATGTGATTAAAATGTGTTTTATTAAGACTGGAGTATATATTTGTGTCTTCAACAAATACAACTTTAGAGATAAGACACTTTAGAGACTTAGAAAATTTTTTAAATTGTATGAGAACCAACTCAGGATCGAGAATGGACTCTTGTCTATCCCAGAAGTTAGTGGAAATAAATGAGTGTTGTTCATCAAGGACAACACTCAAGGACAACTTATTTACTGCAGTTGGAAAAGAGAGATATAATAATTAAAACTGTTTTTCAAAAATAATTTATAATCGTTGTTTAAAAGAAAGGATTTAATAGTTTTAAAAACTTTCTGATATACAGAGCTTATAAAAATAATAAAAGATAATAGTAAAAATAATAAAAAATAATAATATAAAATAACAGGGATGCTGTTTGGACAAAAAGCTGTTAAAAAGTTTTAGTGAGAAATAACTTAATTCAAAATGATTAATATGTATGGCAATGGATTAACCTGTTTTTTTTGGATGAAATGAAGAGTGTGGTCATTAGATTCAAATGTTAAATTAGAGGAATAGTTCTTTGAAAATAGTTTTGCCTTACCTTTGAAATTTGTAGTAAACTCAGATACATGTATGAGAGATGAAATATTAGACTTGCCTTCGTTAATAAAAATGTTGATGATTTTCCAAATGTTTCTAGAACTTTTGATATAAATTACAAGATTAATCTTAGGACAATCTTAGATTCAGATAAAACATTTTTAAAAATATAGATAGAATCAATTATGTGGTAATAATGTTTGTTTTTTTTAAATATATTTTTGACATTTTATGTTTTAAGTTGATAAAGAGTTTTACTTAATCATAGATATTGTTTGACATTCTAAGCAATTAACAATTTAGTTACTTTTTTCTTGCAAATCAGTCCATTGATGTAACAAAGGGCTCTATGTGGCCTCAATAATGCACACCAAAAAAACTTACAGGTACACATTCCATGCACAACATGGCAATGTTAATCCTCTGATATTTTAAAGCTGTTAATAGAATCAGCCTCTCTGAGAGTTACCACAGAGCTCAAGAAACATTACTACCAGCCAGCCTCAGAACCATTAAACTGAGTTTTAGAGCTATGTCCTAATTAGGTTAATAACAGAAAAAGTTGCGTAGCCACCACCAAAGAAACACATACTTAACTTATGAGTAGAGTCAGTTTTGTAGTCATAATGTAACAGGTTTCTATTTGTTCCAGCCTATTTGTTCCAGCCTATTTGTTCCAACCTATTTGTTCCAACCTATTTGTTCCAACCTATTTGTTCCAACCTATTTGTTCCAACCTATTTGTTCCAACCTATTTGTTCCAACCTATTTGTTCCAACCTATTTGTTCCAACCTATTTGTTCCAGCCTATTTGTTCCAACCTATTTGATAAAAGTGTGTGAAGCTAGCTCATAAAATGTTTTGCTTACCCTTAAAGTCTTTATCAAGAATGCCTATTATTAGACAATTAAATCCAGATGTAATCTGCCAGAGATGAATATTTTTACTGAGCCATATGACTTTTACTCAAGTAATCCTAGTCCTGCCTAGAAAATGATTTCAACTAAGCAGAAAGACATGTGGCAGATTGTACTGGATTACATGTTGCTAGTATTAGGGTGATCATGCTGACCACAGTTGGAGGTCAGCAATTTATTGGCGGCCTCATTTTTTCTAATTCCAAGGGTTGTCATCATCATCATCAAAAAAGAGTTTATATATTTAAATATTTTAATAGTATTTTTTTTTCATTAGAAAACCTCAGTCTCAATGCATTGAAAATGACCCTCACAGTATCAAATACGAAGATATTTTCTCAAATCCTGGCGTGGTTTATGACATTAATGCACAGTGTCAGTATGCTCTTGGTCTACTATCAAAAGCTTGCACACCAGAGCAAGTATGAAATAAATAATTATATTTATTTTATGTATATGTATATGTGTATCTACACGTTTGTGCAATTTGTTAATTTTTAATTTTTAAATTTTTCATTCACTAAAAATGTTTATCATTGTAATTTACTTCATATCACAATTATTTAATTCAAGTATATATAAATAATCATTTTTTTTTTAACCTGTTAATAGTCCATGCCGTATTATTATGCAAACTTAAAGTGGTTTCCTAATGTCCATGTCGTATTATTATGCAAACTAAAAGTGGTTCCCTAATGTCCATGCCGTAATACGGTTCTATGCATGTCCTTATATTTCTTTCTTGTTCATCAGTAACTATATTTTGTCACAAAATTTATTACAACATAATTACAGAGCTTTTGTTTCAATAATTTACTTTAAACCCGTTCAATTTAATTTTAATGACAAATAAAAAAATTCTTTCAGTGCAAAAATAGTTATCAAAAAGTAAATACTTACTCACGAAAGATAAAAATTTATACATTTGATGAATCAGTTATGAAAAAATATATTTGATGAATGATAATTGAAAATAATACAAACACAATATATAAAGCCCCATGCTTTTCCAATTATCATATAAAAAGTGAATATTAGCGAATACATTTTCAAAATCTTGTGTTTGTGTAGTATGATTTATATATTCTTGAACTTGAATAAAAGCATTTTGTAGTGTTTAATGATGTTAAAAATAGTAAAAAACTTTTTTTATTCTATTAGTAAAAAAACACAATGATTTTAAAAACACGGGACATTTAGAGACCACTTCAAAAAAAAAAACTGGACTAATAGCGACCATATTTAAAAAAAATACAGTACTTTTAAAGGGTTAATTCATTTTTTTCAAATAATCTTTTTTTCTTATTCATTTTTTTCAACCAATTTTTATTACTTCATATTAGTACATTTTAGTTTTTTTGAACAATAATTAAACATGATTAATTTTTTCAACCAATCATTTTTTTTATTGCTTCATATTAGTACACTTTAGTTTTTTTGAACAATAATTAAACATGATTAGTTTGCTGAACAATAAAATTAGTTTAAAGTTGAAGTAAAAAGAATTCAAGTTTTTTATGTGAACTGAAATAAATAAATAGTAGTATGCTTGTATTTAGTTGATTAATTAAAGCCAATAACCACACCGCATGTGTGGTTATTGACTTTAATTGAGGAGTTTTAGCTGGTGCTAATGCTGACACAGCGTTATTTTTTAATTAATTGATAAGTTACTATAGCAGCTACAATACAATCAGTTAAAAACTTTTTAATTGATTGTATTGTAATAATTAATTTATCTTAGGCTTAAACATTCAATATTTTCTAAAACAATCAATATTTTCTAAAGGTTTGTCAAGAGCTTTTATGCTACCACCCAAATAACATGTCATGTTTACAAGTTAACACTCCAGTATTAGATGGAACCTCTTGTGGAATCAACCAGGTAATTATTTGTTTAATGTGAAGGTTGATTAAACAACATTATTAATGGTAACTACTTAGGTTTTCTTTTATTGTTTCGCAGTGGTGCAAATCTGGCCGATGCGTGAAGATAGGGGTTGTGCCTACTTTTATTGTTGGTGGTAACTGGGGCCAGTGGTCAGAATTTCAAGAATGTTCAAGAAGTTGTGGAGGAGGTGTTGCGTACAGAGAAAGAAAGTGTCTTACACCAATGTAAGAACTTAGTTTTTTTATGATTTTTTTTTTTTTTATATTCTTTTATTTTTACCTTTTTTTGTTTTTTATGCCTGTTTATTATTTGTTATATTATATTTCAAAAATATTGTTTGATTGCTGCAGTTTTTTGCATTTCAGCTCTAGAACAAATGGAAATTATTGTGTTGGGGATACACGAATGTACGCAATTTGCAACAAAGAAGTAAAAATGTTAAAGAATAATATTAAATAAGAATAAATAAGTTATAAAAAACAATAAATTTTTTTTTTTTCATAGAATTAAATTTTTTTTTGGTTTTTATTAATAGTGAACTAATTATACAACTATTGAACTAAAATTCTAATTTTCAGCCATGCGCTAATGCTATAAACTATAGAAAGATTCAGTGTGAAAATAAAGGCTTAACATTTGCTGGTGATCAAAAATATGCATGGACTTATCATAGCAATCTACCAGGTACATTTATTATCAATTTTAATAAAATTTTATAATTAAAAAAGGAAATTTTGATAAGAACACTATTTAGCAATAAAAAATGTTATAAAATACAGTGCTCCATAATAATTACTATTTTGGAGCAATACGTTTCAGCAATAAAAAATTTGTTTTAGCAATAAAAAATGTTTTAAAATACGTCTTAGCATCAAAAAATATGTTTTAGCAATAAAAAATGTTTAAGGTTATTTATAGTGCTCCATAATAATTACTATTTTGGAGCAATATGTTTTATAAGTTTGCATTTTACTTTCTTTTCACTAATAATGGCATTTCTTTCATTCCTTTCAAAAGGATTTTATTTTCCTAAATTTTTTCAAGGTTGAAAAAATTTAGGAAAATATTGTTGATTTCTAATTTTCTTAAGTTTCTCAGGATTCTGTTTCATATCTTTATAAATCTCTAATTGTCTATGTATGGAATACTGTTGCCATATCTGGAGCAGATCTTCCAATGATGCCCTTTTTCTTTTAGACAAGTTGCAAAAATGGATTGTTTACATAGTTATATCTGCTCTTGCAGCCAACCTTCAACCATTGTCACATTGTTGTAATGTTGCCTCTATTAAATACTATAATGGGTGCTGCTCTAAAGGACTTGCATCTCTTGTGTCATTTACTAAAATTTATTCTTGTGTTACTTGTCAATCAATTAAGTCTCATCCTTTTACTGTGACTGTTCCTAAGTGCTCAAAAAATTCTTTTTTGTCTAGTTTTTTCCTTGAAAATCAATTCTTTGGAATTGATGTTCAAGGAAAAAAACTTGGTTCTTATCATCTTGAGAAAATTCCAAAGCACTGATATTATCAGAAAAAAAATAGTAAATAATGGTTTTTTGAGCATTAAGTAACACTCGCTTTGGATCGGTGTAATTTTGGATGGGTTTGACTTCACCCCATAAATAAGACAAAAATGATATTTTGTTTATGAAACAAATGCTTAACTTGCTTGAGTAGAAATCAAAAAGATAATATAGAGAAGACATAAAGTAAGGTATACTTAGAAATGGTCAGACTGATTGACGCTTTTCTGTTTGCCCGTGTTCGCACGGTCCAAACCACCGAACCGGTCGAACACGAGCAACAATAATTTTTTCAAACAATCCGGACAACTCGGACACCCCAAACACTGGACAGAAAAACTAATGTCAAACCAAACACCGAACGATCACCGAACAGTCATTGAACTAAAAATCTCGAACACAGTCAGACGTCGAACATGCAAAAAAATGAAAAATAAAAAATGACACAAGAATCGGACAATTTTTCATATTTACAGGTTCATAGTAATTTCTAGTACAGATTTAAGTGCAGTATATACAGCCTGTATAATACAGGTAGTAAATTAAAAAAAAAAGTTCAGTGAGTTAGCATCAAGGCTTCAATTGTTTCTGGTGCAAGATTGGCTCTCCTGTCATTAGTAATCAGCTTTGCAATGGAATTCATTCGTTCACTTGGGGCTGTAGTAGTGCTACTTAGCTTTTGGTGAACAGCTTTTTTACAAATGTTACAAACTGCAATATTTTTGACAGGTTTAGTGGCATGTAATTTGAAGAGCAAAGAAAAATTCATCCAAACTTTTGACTTGCCTACATCAGTAGTTTTCCCTTTCAAAAGAATAGAACCACTGGAAATTTGTTCATTTAAAATTGCATTAAGTTCAATGACTTCATCTGAAGTCTCATAGATCTCTTTTATAACATGCGCCATTTTGTATTTTTGTGTAATAAGTTCTCGAAAATGTGTAACTAAATCAAATTTGACAACATGCAAAGTTAAAAAACAAAGTAGATATTTACAAAACAAAAGTTTTTTAATAAATTCAATAAATGTATAAATTTTTTGTAATATATATTTAATATGTTATAAAAGAAAAATTCAATTAAAAAATTAAAAAAAAAAAATTTTTTTGTTCACAACCAAAGCAAATAGGATATTTAGCATATCTTCTTTGCTTTTGGTCATGTTCGAATTTGATAATCAAAATAAGTTTTTCTTATGCAGTTTTTTATGCTGATTTCAAAAAACTAAACTTTAAATTATGAAAACCACTGCATCAGTGTTAAAAAAAATTAAATGCTTCGATTCACCAATATCCTGTAGTCCAAGGAGAATGAAACTTTTAAAAGTCTTGAAATAATTTAAAGCTGTGGTGAATAATTTGGATTAGAATGGAATAAATTCAAGAGAGATAATAATGCTGAACAAGTCGTACAACCGAACAGTCGAACACTTTCTGAAAAGTCAATCAATTTTAATTGATTTGGCCTAGAAATGCTGGCTCGGTCGGACGCCGAACATGGCGGCCATAAAAAAGTTGGACAATGGCGGACATCGGACAAAACATTCTTCAATCAGAACCGAACATTTCGATTACGGACATCGTTAAAAATTTTTCAATTCAAACTGATCAATCATCTTGTAAAATTTTTTTGACTCAGTTGCACATCGGACACAATGTGGCCCATATCCGACCATCTCTAGGTATACTGTCTGATAATAGAATATTCTGTCTATATGATATAGAATATTCAATCTATATGATATAGAATATTCAGTCTATATAATAGAATATTCAGTCTATAGTTCACTATTTCATTCTAACATATATGATAATATCATTTAGTTACCATTAACAAATTATCAGTAGAATTTTGTAGGCTATTCCCAACACTCCCTCACGATTTCTCTATTTTCCTTACATTCACTATTTTTATTCTTTGTCTTAAACTAATTTCTTTTACATTTCAGAGTCACACCACATATCCATCTGATCATGATCTTCTCTGATCTTTCTAGATGATGGAGATTATCAACAATATGGTGCAAGGTGCAATCATACACCTCTTGTGACTAGAAATAGAGATTTATATTGATGTTATGGAGATGAATTCTGAAGTTTTTGATATAATAAAGATAATATTCTGATTTTTTTAATATAATTTTCTGAACTTGGCTCGGTTATTATTTCTTAAAATTGCTTTTTTTACCTATAATACCGACTAATTTTATTTATGAGATAACAAAATTATATATTTTCATCATTATCTCTATTTATTATGTTATCTATTTATGTATTCCCAAAAATTACATTTTCTTTACTCTAACAATATTAAAAGAACCTTGTATACATATTTTGTCATCTTGTATAAATCTTTTTTAAATTCATTGCATTTAGACTGTACAAACTTTTTTTCTATGGTCTTCTTATTGTGGCTTTTCAATATTTTCTGCTTACTCTATTTTTACTTTACAATGAATATCTATGTCTATTCATTAAATCTTATTTTTACTTTACAATGAATATCTATATCTATTCATTAAATCTTATTTTTACTTTACAATGAATATCTATGTCTATTATAAAATAATTAAATTTAATATTACATTTCTTATTAACATTTAACATAAATTAATTTCTTTGTTTTCTCAACATTTGTA